TAATTATAAATAATTAAAATATAAGAGTATCGAACGTATGAAATAATTTCTAAAAATTTACTCTAATAACTGTCGATTATTTCAGACCAGAAATCGAGTTGGTTTATTTTTTTTAAATTTCTTTTTCTTTCTTCTCTCTCTCTTTTTCTCTTTCTCTTTCTCTTTATGGAAAGATACACGATAGTGTTTAGTTGTATTTTATTTTATCATAAAATAAGTAGGTATAGTAGTAAATAATTACGAACGGTGTGTGTTAGACACAAAAAGTATTTAACAGATATTAGAATGAAAAAAAATGTCTCTAATTAATAAAAATTTATTTCATTTCTCGGTCGCAGCATCCCCCCTCCGCGGTAAGTTGCGCAGCAACAATTTCTTGACATGCGTATATATAAATATATATATATATATATATATATATATATATATATATACACACACATATTATCTAAATATTTACACGTATTCATAAATTGAGAAAACCAATTCGTAATTAGTTTTACGCAATTAATCAGCCCTCCTGCCTTTTTAGTTCGTGAAATTCAAATTTATCGAAGCAACATTTATTATTATTATTATCATTATTATTATTATTATTTGTTGTTTTTTCATTACTCTCTGACGTATGTTCTAATTTCATCATTTTTCCATTGGTAAACGAAACTTTTTTTGTTTTACATTTTACTTTTTTCGACATTTGAACCCTTTTTTTTTATTTATATTTATTTTCTTTTATGTTTTTTCATTTGATGTGTGACGTATTACGAGCTTTTAAATATTGTTTATGTAGCCCAGGGTTTCTCAAATTTTTTTTTGTTCATTTAATAATTTCCTTTAACCCGAGAAAAAAAATATTTTCTCGAGCCTGATTATTGTTTAATTGAAATTGGTTTAGAAATTAAAAAATTATTGGCTTAGTAATATTATTATTATTATTATTATTATTTATTCATTGGTTTAGAAATTATTGGTTTATCACACATGCGCGTGTCCAGAAATTTGTTTTTATTTCTATTGAAATTTTAAACTTTTCAATATTCAAATTTTGAGAGACCCTGATTTGACGTTAACGTATAATTTGTAATAATAAACGCAATAAAATCTCGAACTTAATTGCGTTTAAATGTACGACAAATGTGTTTGTTTTTTCGTGAGTTGAGGATAAACGTTTGCATATTAATTAACACCATTAACACGATCGAAGATTAATTTGAAAAATAATAAAAATATTCTCGATTTTGTGGGATATAAATAAAAATGTTGGAATTTGTACGAGAAAACTTTTTCATATCTTTTTCAAGAATATAAACAAATAATATTTTATGTGTATTTACGTGTATGTATTAAATTTGAATATCATAATGCATCTTACATACGTATTATATTTAATAGAATTCATTTGAATCCGTATACGTGTGTAACATTTCTCGTATTAGAAACTATCAACGGATATCTGTCGTCATGTTTACAAATCGTTTTATTAGGATGATTTCAATTGTCTCTCCCTTTTGTTTCTTACTTTGTTTTTTCTTTTATTTTCTTTTTAAATTTAATTTTTTGCAATCTAATCGTAAAAAAAAGAAAAAATAATGGTCTCCCGTGTTTCCTGCCGAGGAGGGTTATTTTGATTTATTATCTGGATAAAAAGTCATAAAATGTGAACCGATAAAAAGAAAATGTATTTAACAAGATAAAAGTTTGATAAGACGAATTCGACGATATCTCGAAATAAAATTAGCCGAAAGAAATTTAACCAGAAGAAATGTTGGTCCGTGTTGAAAACGAAAAAAAAAAAAAAATAAAAAGAAAATGTTAACAACGCTTGTAACCGTTTGAAAAATTCGCGTGACGACGTAATTGCGCTTTTATTCCCCACCCACCATTCTTTTTATTTTCCTTTCAATTTCTTTTTTCGGGTTTTGTTACTCACGTTATATATTTAATTTATAACAGAGTACGTGCGTATGGTCCTGGAATCGAATCAGTTGGCCCGGTAGTTGGTGTACCGGCCAATTTCACCGTTGAAACATTTTCTGCTGGCAAGGGAAATGTTGAAGTTCTCGTCGAAGATCCTAAAGGAAATACCGTACCAGTAAGAAATACATTTTGCGTTGAATATTAGCAAACAAATCCTTTAATTTTTATTCATTTGCTCCATATCGTTGGAAAACTTAATTTTTCTCAAATCGTTAAATTCTTTTTACTATAAAACACTTGATTCGATCAATCGAATAGTAACCTACAAAAATCATACCTATATACGTCCCTGAAAATATTTCTAATCAACTAAATAATAATTCAAAAGTATATAAATCGAATAGACGAAAAATTTCGTATATCGTTTAATCGAAAATAAAATATAAATTAAATAATATTTATTGTAAAAATGTAGAAAATTTTTTTTAATATAATACTTTTTTTTTGTATAATTTAATATAATTATTTATTTTGATAGGCTGACGTTAGATTCAATAAAGATAGAAATCTTACGTATGCCGTTTCGTATACGCCAAGAATCGAAGGTCCTTACAAAGTGAAGATACTATTTGCCGGAAGGGAAATTCCAAAGAGTCCGTATACGGTCAACGTTGAGGGTCATGCTGGAGATGCTAGCAAAGTAACAGCAAGTGGACCGGGTCTTCAACGTGATGGAGTTGTCTTGAATAGGCCTACTTATTTCGACATATTCACTAAGGATGCTGGCCGTGGTGTACCGGAAGTTATCATTTTGGATCCACAAGTAAATATATGAGAAATAAAATCTAATGAGGATGTATTTAGTGGCTAGTTAAAAAGTAATAAAACATAAGAAGAAGAAAAAGAAAAAGAAGAAGAAGAAGGAGGAGGAGGAGACCAAAAAATAAAATACAATGACACAAATTTATTATTTTCTAGGGGACGAAACTGACAACGCCTAAATTACGTCAAATCTTTCCGGATGTAACAAGGTGTGAGTACAGTTCGCCAGTAACTGGTTTACATTCCGTTAACATTTTCTTCGCTGGTAAACCCATACCCGAAAGCCCGGTTGGGGTAAACGTAGCACCCGTCTCAGATGCGAAAAAATGTCGAGCATATGGCCGAGGACTTTTACCAACAGGAGTTCGAGTTAACGATAATGCTGATTTTGTACTCGTTACAAAGGATGCTGGGGAAGGAATACCGGAGATTAAAGTTATTGGTCCGGGTGGTATTAATCAAACAGTACAGTAAGTCATTCAAATATTTCATCGATGAATAATATATCTTTCAAAATAAAGTTTAAATTACATGCGTTTGTGTTATTTTTTTGTAGGATGATCAAAGCAGACGCTAACACGTATAATTGTTCTTACGTGCCAACGAAGGAAGGTCGATACGTTGTAATGATCACGTTTGGTGGTAAAGAAATAAGAAAGTCACCGTTCGAAGTGAACGTTGGTCCGTACAAAGAGTCCGCGATTTGGGCATTCGGTCCAGGCCTTAAAACTGGTGTTGTTGGTCAACCAGCAAGATTTACGGTAGATACTAACGGAGAAACCGGTGCTCTTGGATTCTCCATTGAAGGACCCTCCAAAGCAAACATAGAATGTCATGACAATGGTGATGAAACGGCTGACGTGTCCTATTTACCAATGGCACCGGGACAATATGCTGTTCATATACTTTGCGATAACGAAGACATACCATCGTCTCCTTACATAGCAAATATTGTACCAAAGACCGATTTTGACGCGGAAAAGGTTTGTCTTATGTTAGAGTTATTCGTTTGAACTTTATTTGATGTACTACTGTTTTTCCTTTTTAAAAAGAGATTAAATTTGTCTTACGCTCGCTTTATTTGATGAATTTATTTTGTAGGTAGAGGTACACGGTCCAGGAATTCAACCTGATAGCGTTGCAAAAGATAAACCAACTCATTTCACTGTGGATCCTAGAAAAGCTGGTGGTCAGGCACCATTGGAAGTTGTTATACAAGATGTTTTCGGTAGACAAGTTCCTGTTCGTTTGGACGAGAAACGTGATGGTACCGTACAAGCTAATTACACGCCGACTTCTGCTTCTCAGCACGTTATAATGGTTAGATATTTAATTGCACAATTTTAATTTAGCTAGCTAGCTAGCTAGCATACGTAATTACGCGTGTAATTTAATTGTATATCTTCTTTTTATTTTGTTTTTGGATAGGTAAATTATGGTGGCGTTGCTACGAAAAAATCACCGTTCAGAGTAAAGGTAGCAGCACCTTTCAACCCAGCTGCAGTTACTGCATTTGGACCGGGTGTTGAAAGTGGCGTTAAATCAAATATTCCTACACATTTTAACATCGATTGTCGCGAAGCTGGACCTGGCAACATGGGTGTGACCATAGTCAGCGAAGATGGACGTGAATTACCAGTGTCCTTGACCGATAACGAAGACAATACTTATAGCGTACAATATGTTGCACCTCAACCAGGAAATTATTTTGTCAATCTTACCTACGGTGGTTTGGTTGTACCTATGTGTCCAATCACGGTCAATGTTCAACCGCATATCGACGTTTCCAGAATCAAGGTGGACGGTCTTGAACCAAGTAAGTATACAATATATATATATATCATTTAATAATTATACTTTTATATCGAACACTAATCAAAATTATTTAATTTATTAAATGAAACAAAAATGATTTCTTTCATTATCGTATTGTATACAAATCTTGAGAGGGTTTGAATTATTTAATCAAGCATTCGAAAAAATATCGGCACAAATTTTCTTTCGTAACTGTTGATAATTTGGGTTTTTCCATTGAAATATGTAAAAAACGTTATATCGTGTTCATAGTAAAACGATGGACACGATACGACGGTAAGAATGAAAAATAACGAGAATGTTTAGTGAGAGAGAGACTCGCGTAGAGTTTCCTAAAAACATAAAGAAAAAAAAAAAAGAAAAAACAAACGCTCTTCGCACAGCTGCACCGGTGAACAGTCTGCAGCAGTTCCGCGTGATAACGCAGGATGCCGGAAAAGTAGCTGATTTTCAAGTGGCGATAACAGCACCATCGGGTAATCGGGTTAAGGCCCACATCTTACCGACCCACGAAGGTTATTTGGTCAACTTTACGCCCACTGAATTGGGCGAGTATTTGTTGGGGATCAGTTTCGGTGGTGAACCGATTTCGAGTCAACCGTATCGTCTCAACTGCGTTCACGGTTCTGATCCTGGAAAAGTCCGTGCCACTGGTCCTGGTTTGTCACGTGGGGTTGTCAACAAACCAGCCGAATTTGTAATCGATACCAGAGGGGCTGGCCAAGGTGGACTTGGGGTTACCGTCGAGGGTCCTTGCGAAGCTGCCATTAATTGTCGTGACAACGGTGATGGTACTTGTTCAGTTGCTTATCTTCCTACCGAACTTGGGGATTACGGGATTAATATTACCTTCAATGAACAACACGTGCCTGGGTCACCGTTCCAGGCAATCGTCGTACCCGACACCGACGTTTCCAAAATAAAGGTCACCGGAAATGGAATTCAGCCACACGGTATCGTCACGCCGTCAAGGGCAATAATGGTTTTTTCGATTATGGAATGCCATAAAACCGTGATTGTTGGTGTGCGTTTGTAAAAGAGGATATATGTCGAACGGCAAATTGATTGCTCGTAATATCTTTTTTTTTGTCTTTCCTTTCGTTTCATTTCATTGAATGTAATCGCAATTGAGATTCGTTGAAAATAGTCGTATTGTTTGATACATTATTTTATTGTTTTGTTTACGAGCAATCCGTTTAAAATCCTAGTAATGCGGGTGCCTTTTCGAGCCGATTACAAATTCCAAAAGTGTTCGAAATTTTAATGCATGAATTATTTTAATTGTTTACGCTGAATTTTGGTTTTCATTTGCACATTTACGAAATAATTTTAATCTTTATTTACATTTTGCTTATTTTCGATGAATATTACTCGTTAGGAGATGATGCCATGCGATGCCGTGTGCTTTTACAAAAATAATCATTAATTATGTTTTCATCTTTTTTATATTTGAATATCGTTCTATTTTTTTTTTGTTTTTATTTTCTTCTTTTTCGATAAATCATTATCGTACTAACATTAGAATTAAATCTCGATAATGTTAGACACATATTAGTGAGTAGACGTGTAGATCGTAAATACATGAATGATTAGATAAATGTGTTTATTCGATTAGAAGTGAATTATATTTTTAGGATGTTTTGATTTTTCATTTCTTATAGCATTTAGAATTAGAATGTGTATAGTATTAAAAAATAAAATAATTTCAAATTTGATATAGACAAAATATTTGAATAAATACAAATTTGTTAACTGCGTTGATTTTTGTTTTAGAATTAATCTTATGAAAAAGTGTGTCATTCGATTAAAATGAAACATTATTTTCAACGATTGTTTTTTCCTTTTAAGGTCTATACTTAAAGCAGCCAACGGAATTCATGATAGACACCAGAGCAATAGCTAAAATGAAGAACGACGAAGGTTTAGTTTCCTGCGTTATCAACAATCCGAATGGTGGAAAAACGGATAAAGTTATCATTCCTCAAGGAGACGGAATGTATCGTGTCAGTTATACACCTTTCGAGGAAGGACGTTACACTATCGATATTCTTTACGACAACATTCCAGTGCCAGGTTCACCGTTTAGCGTAAACGTTAAACGTGACAGTGATCCTAGCAAATGTCGTGCTTATGGTCCAGGTTTAGAGAAGGGTTATGCTAATAAGGTTAATCAATTCACCGTAGAAACAAAAGGTATTTTTTCGTGTTATAATTAATCTTAAAAATATATATAATAATATCTTATGAATAAATGTAATAATGTACATGTAAAAATATATTTATTTCGTATGAAATTTTTAGAGGCTGGAAATGGTGGTCTTGGTTTAGCTATCGAAGGTAAACGAGGAGTCGAAATGATTTGCAAAGATAATTACAATGGTTCTTGTACTGCTGAATATATACCATTGGAACCTGGAGAATATGATATAACAATAAAATTCGCTGACAAACATATACCTGGTTCACCTTTCAAAGTACAAGTTGTATCCGACAGCAGTAATGCTAAAAACGTTGTTGCTTATGGTACAGGACTCGAGCCTGAAATGGTACGAGAAGGTGTGCCAGCTAAATTCGTCGTTGACACGTCGAAATGCGAACCGGCTAAATTGGACGTTAGGTTGAAGACCGATAAAGGTCAAGTGCAAAAGCCGGAAATTAAAAGTCGTAGCGATGGATTGTACGAGGTTACGTATCAGCCACCACCAGCTGGTAGTACGGTTCAAATAGGTGTCAGTTACGATGGCGAGGAAATAAATGACAGTCCATATTCTATCAAAGTTTTACCTACGGTTGAACCAAACAAAATTGTTCTCAGTGGGCCTGGTGTTCAACCGGTTTGCACTGCGTCATTCCCAACGGAATTTGTTGTTGATACTTCCAAGGCTGGATATGGTGATCTCGAGGTTCAAGTTTTGGTAAGGGATATTATACATTTAAATGACACATTAAAAATGAAATCAATTTTTATTTTTATACGATTCAATTCGCTGTAATGATGAATAATAGAAAAAAAAAAAAACAAACAAACAAAATGTTGTTTTTGTCAAGGGTCCAGATCAATCACCGCGAAGGGTCGAGGTACAGGATTTGGGGGATGGAAAATACAAGGCCACCTATTTGCCAGACGATTGTGGTCGTTACAAGGTCAATGTGAAATACGGTGGCAAAGAAGTACCGGGTAGTCCAGTTCTTGTACAAGGCGTTTCAACCGGTAAAGCTGAGAAGTGTAAGATCAAGGAGGGTATTCAGCATACCTTGGCACAGGGCGAAGAATATTGTATAACTGTTGATACTGAAAATGCTGGAAGGGGTGCTGTTACTTGTCGCATTCGTTCTACGTCAGGCAGGTAAAGAAAACATGCACACGCAACAACAAAATAACAAAATAATACAATCCTATATCTATTTTCATTCTGATTTATCGTTATTCTAAAAATATAATATAATAGTTTCCAGAAGCGAGTGTAAGAAAATAGATAAATTCGAAAACTGGACACACTAACAGGGTGACACTCGTATCGTATATTTACTGTCTTTTATCTCTTGCATTCCTTTCTATCTTCTCTCTAAGCTTTCACGTTTCGTTTAGTTTAGTTTAGTTTCGTGCAGGACATCATCCCGGTTTTATTTTAAATACCCGTCTCGGCATGACCCAGATATTTATTTTGATTCACGAAACATATCAGAAATTCGCGAAAGCTTACATGTTACAAAAACCTAATCGTAAATCATACGATTTTCTTGTTTCTTATTTTTTTGAGGGTTTTTTTTTAGGAGGGGAACGATTTTATTTTTTTTTAACGGTAGAACAATTGTAATCGTTTTATGTTCTGAAATGAAATCCGTCGATACTTGGAAATCAAATATAAAATAATAAAAAAAAAGAAACGAATATTATAAACAAATAATAGTAACATTGGTTTTTCTCATTTTTCAATGATTCAATTGTTACTTCAATTTGTATAAATATTATTTAATAATGTAGAATTTAATTTACTCTGGCAATTGGACAAGAATTAAAAGGGGGTTTTTTTTTTCTTACATATTCTAACATATTTTCTTTCCCTCTTGGCAGTTGATCTTAACGAATCAAGTAGTTATCGTTATTCATTTTGTCTGTTTTAACGCTACCATTGTTAGCCTGCCAAGAACAAACACGCATTGGGTCAGTTTTATCGAACAGCCAAGTTTGAATTTCGACCAATTTAACGTGCCTTTGTTTATCCTTCATTTCTAACATTTGAAAACAATTAAACAGACTTATTTAATTAACTTTTGTATATAAGAGAATAAAATGTTACAAAAATGTTTATGTCATTTGTTATAAAACGAAAGATAATCGGAGAGATCATTGTAGAAATTAATTTTAATATAGAAAGAAATTATTATTAAAAGTAGTCATTTTGAAAAATCAAAATTAAAGTTTACTTTGTTTTAATTATAAATATATTCAATTTAAACTTATAAAAAACTTGTTATATTATACACACAAAATAATGTAGCATTTGGTTACTGTTATAGTTCATTCGTCGGTGTTACTTTCGCAAGATGAATTTTTTCATCGGCAAATTCAAAGCTCTATAGTACGTGGTAGAAAGTATTTTGACGTTGATTAATGAAATCTTACAATGTCCACCTGTTGAAGCATTAGTCATGCGCCATATCAAATGCTTCGTATACCTCTTTCGATCTTGCCAACTGTTTTCACTTATGTATCGTTCCTAGAATCGATATCTTTATCGTTCTAATGAAATTTCTTTATCCTTGTGTCGAGTCAATTATTTAAAATAATCTGCCGAAAGACAAATATCAATTCATTTAAATGAAATATAAATAAAATATCGAGAATAACGCGTTAAATAATTATACGAAACACAACGTTAAAATTAAAAATTTATAATTTCATTTAATTTAATATTTTTTTTTACCAATAAACAAATCTTCTTTTCATTTGTTTTTAAAAATATTCAAGTGAAAATACTTACGGAAAATTTTTTTTTTTACGATAAAACAACATCACGCTCGTATATTCATATAACAATTTAAATTTAGAAATTTTACTCACGGTTTTTTGTTTTCTTTTTTTTTATAATAATGCTATATTTTATAATATATAAAAAAAAATGTTTTTGCAATTGAATGAAATATAAGTTGAAACAAATTAAATGTAAACGGTTTTATATCGACGATACAATACTCGTTTATATAATATCATTTAATATTTTAATAATTAACGATATTATTAAAAAAACGTTTGTTTATATTATTTTTCAGTGAAGTGGTTGACATCGATATCGAAGATAACGGTGATGGTACTGTCAACATTTATTACACGGTTGCCGATGCTGGTGATTACACGCTTAATATAAAATTCGGAGGACAACCTGTTCCAGAAGGACTCTATACTTTTACGGTAAGCAATTACTATATATAATCATGTTTGATTAATTTTGACAAAATTTTATATTAAAATAAGAATTTTAATTGTCGAGTTATCAATTCTTTTTATTTTCGTTATACCAAATTGTATTTAAAATAATAACATTAATTTCTCGATCGTATTAATGCACGTTATCGTATAACAATAATTTTGAATTATTCATACCAAAATTTGATTTGCATCAAATGACGCATGTCGTACCTTTTAGGGAAAAGGGGAGGAGAAGGGGGACATTTACACCGTTGATATTTCGATAAATTCCGTGGTTAACAATAATTAAAATAAGAACAACGTGAATTAGAACCGAAAATCATTGGAACGAATTCTATTCGTTCGGATAAAAGAATTCAATTTGTCGTTAACAAATAAGAGATCTATTCATTTAATCTTTTTTCTTGTTTTTTAAAGCATAAACTGATAGTTAGTTAGAAGAAAAATTTTTTAAACCTAATCATCGTATTTAATTTCTTTTTTGTTAATTTTTTCTTCAACAAACTACGAATTTTCTTAAATTTCATTTCATTTACACATACAAATGTTATTTCATTTTTAGATTATTATGTTTTAATTGTATAAAATGTTTGAAAGATTTTTATTTTATTTCAAATTTGTTGTTTCGTGTCGAATGGAGAAAAGTAGACAAAAATGTTGTCATAGTATTTGAAACGTGAACGATTACATTTTAAGTGAATACATTTTTTGTTGTTGTTTTAAATTAAAGATGAGAAAAAAAGTGAAGTAAAACGTCGCGAATTAATGTGCAGAAAAATGTAAACGTTGAACGGATTATGAAATTTGTAAGATGTAACTATTTCATTTTGGGAAAAAATTTTGTTTCAGTAAAATTTATAGTAAAACTTTAGGTAGCAGACGAAAGTAAAATTTTCTCACGTGTTGTTGTTGGCAAAACTTTTTAACGGGTAATAAAAGATACAATGACATCGATTATGTGAGAAAACAGGAAATTCTCATTTTCGCGATTAGAAAGTTTGTCTTAACACATAAATGTAATAGTAAATTTTTACGATCTATTAACTTGTTGTTTAAACAATGAAAATTATTCTTTGATTATTAAATACAAAAAATGGACATTTACACGTACATGTATATATTAATTAACGATCAACTAAATAATCGTAAAGATCAATTAAATAAAATTGCAACAAATACAATTAAAATCAAGAATTAAACAAATAACAAGTTCAATTAATCCGTTAAATAAAAATTAACTTAAATATTCGATTATGTCTGTATGTGTGTGTGGCAACAAAGTTTTCGTCGTTTATTTTTTCCAATAAAAATGAACAACAAATTAATCAATAAAGTATTATTTTCCTTTGGTTAAAATTTAAACCTAAATTTAGTTGCCAACGTAATAATATTACGAACAATATATCCAAAAAAAAAAAACAAAACACATCCTATTACAATTATTAATCAAGCACATATTTTTTTTATAATTAACAAAAAAAATTACAAATTTTCTCTATCAAACAATTCTAATGCTAATATTCTAATTCTAAGTAAAAAAAAAGTAGACTAAAATTTAACATAAATTGGTAAATAAAAGATAGACAAAATAATTGGATAGATTATGTGATAATCTTTCTCTCTCTCTCGAGACGTTTGTTTCGATTTTCTTGGTTCCTCTTGATCATTCGATGTTAGAATAAGAAGAGGAGGGACTTAGTGGGGCGAGGTGTTTCTAACTATAGAGGCAATACGTAGGAGCAGACAGGATATTATCGTGTAGTCTCCAGAGAAACAGTCCACTCCGAAGATTCATCGTGATCGCACCAAAAGTGTTCGATAATATTATTCAACATTTTCATTTCTTCATCGTCGTAACATCGTACAAAATATCCTGTCAACGCGTTTAACATCAACGTTAAATATTCTATCAAGTAAAAATCATTCTCGCTCACACACTCACTCTCTCTTTCACTCATTCTTTCATTTTTTCTATCTCTGTCTCACATTCTGTCATTTTCTTTTTCTTTTTCTCTCTTTTAATGGGGTGAACCAAAAATTCGTGTCATTTTTTTTTTATTAATATTTCCAAAGTAAATTTTACAAAAATAATCTTCCCGCCCCCCTTTCACCCCCATTATTATGCAGTTTCAACGGAATAAATGTGCAAACTTTTTGGTTCACCCTTAAATATTCTCGTTTTATTTTATTTCAAATGCATTTTTTATCCTTCATCCTTCATCTCGTTCGTATTATCGTTTGCAATACCTGTTGCATCTTCTTCTATCTCTTTCTACCTTTCTCTTGTGTGTATGATCAGGCATGTATGTGTGTGTATGTGCGTTGAGTTGTCCAGCATGATTTCAAATACAAGATAGTTCAACGATTTTGTTAATCGTCAAACGAGAAGATACGTTTTTGATCGTTAAACGATAATAATAATTATTATTATTAACGAGAACGTTAGAATAATGTTTGATTTGAGAATTTGTTTTAATTTTTACAAAGTTAAATTATAGGAATTATATTTTTGTTATATCATTATCGAAAAGTTTTATATTATTCGAGTTAATATTTTTTTTTCTTTCTTTTTCTCTATGATTAAAGAAATAAATTAGTAAAAATATATTGTATTTTGTTTCCTTTTTTTTTTTTTTTTCTTATTCGTATTATGTAATACACATTATATTAATAATACAAAATAGATTCGACCTTTTGTTAACTTTCATTTTTTAATTTTTATTTTTGTATTTTTGTATTTTTGTGAAAAGTACCACCGTGTAAAAAAAAGGTAGAGAATGTTTTTATAATATTATTATTTAAATATTAAAACGTAAATTATTAAATCAGAATTTTGATTTCGATTAAGGCGTGGTTGGATATGTCGAATGAAAAAAAAATATAAATTAAATTTTTACAACAAACTTACGTTAATAATTTACTTAATTCACATTTTAATTAATCATATATATATTTTCGATATTTTACAAATTATTATTATTATTAATAGCGTTATAATATAAATATAGATATTAGAAAATTATATAGAAATATGATTAGAAATAGAATTATATGAGAAGAAGTAGAAAGTAACAACGGTATGGTCAGCCTCTATAAGTAGAAACACACTGTCATAAGATTAAACGTAGCACATCGAGAAAACAATGAAGAAATTTCAACTGCATACATTATCAAAACGCATAATATGTATTCTTATCGTAAAGAATAATAATCGTAAGATGTATACGTTAATACAATAAATCTCTTAGTCGTATAAACACACACACACACACACATACTCAAACACACAGACAGAAATACGTTGATCTAGTTATCTAAACTTTTTGCTTAACAAACCTCTATTAACAAACTCCCCTTCCCCCTTTTCCCCCACACACGACAACACAGGATTCGTTGATTTCAGTTACTGAAGTATCAAACAGTTGAAAATAATTTCACATTTTATACTACTCTCTTCTTCCCCATTTTCCCTCTGCTCGTCTCCTTCTACCAAGATAGAAAAAGAAATAATGTGCGAGAGAGAGAGAGGAGTAGATCAGGGAAGGGAAGGGTAGGGAAGAGAAGGGTGGAAGGGGAAGGGATTTTGTTGAACGAGGACTGGAAGTCGTTGATTTAAACGTTTCGGCATGTGTCAAGCTCGAGCAAGCATGATGTTCCGCCCGGTTTCATTAACGAACATGCATGGAAACCAAAATTGAAAATACTTCCTAGAGAGAGAGAGAGAGAGAGAGAGAGATAGATAGATAGGTGGTCGCTTTTGATTATGTGCTTTCAAACCATACACCCTAATCTCTAACGTATGTCTTTTTAAACCGATAGAAAATTCTTTAGGAATATTTTTTTTTAGAATGAATTCGGTTCACTTGGTGATATAATAAAAGAAATTAATTGACATAATGAATTATATTCGATTTGATTGATAATAATATGAAATAAAAAGTATTTGTTAATTAATTAGTAATAATTAGTTGTTGTTGTTGTGTTAATTACGTGTTTCCAATGACATACATTACGTATGGGAAAGAATTTTTTTATAATTTTATTAGAGAATAAAAATGAGATATAATATAGAAGATATTAATTGAAATAATAAATATTATTCGATTTGTGTGATAATAATACGAAATAATGTATTTAATTTGTTTTTAATTACGTGTCTCGAATATCACATACTCGGTTTATTATCATTTGGAATCGATTGAAAATTAAATCGCAAAATAACAATCGGGAGGCGGTGTGGTAAATAAATTCAAATAAATTTATCATTAATATTATAAACGAATAAAAAATGAAGTACAAATTTTCATATTCACATTTCAAGTTCAAATTTTCACTCAACCACCGTTTCGATTACTTTTATTCTATAGAAAAAAATAAAGTTCTTAAACATTTTCCTTCAAATTTATATCGTATAAAATAACAAAAAAAAAAAATTAAAAGAAAGAAATAAACCAAAAAACAAAAAGAAGAAGACGGAGAAGAAATTTATCGTAAACACAACAATAGAATATACTTACGAAAAATATTGTTTTTTTTTTCACTGAGTTTGTTCCTTCTCACTTTCTTTCTCTCTCTCTCTCTCTCTCTCTCTCTCTCCTTACGTTTAAATGAACAAAAATATTGAATTAATAATCGATAAGAAATAGGATGGAAAAAACTATAATGAAATTTTGAAATTCAATCCGTTGGTTGGTGGTGGTGGGTGGTGGGTGGTGGTGGTGCATCGTCGCGACCTCATAAACTATTTCGAGTATACGAATGCGTCTCCCTTTCCCAAATTTATAAGCAAGCAACGTTCGCCGTTCGTTGGTTGTGGTGGTGGGTGGACTAAAAGGAACGAAACAGAGAGAGAGAGTGAGAGAGAGAGAGAGAGAGAGAGAGAGAGAGAAAATGAGTGAGAAAGATAGAGAGAGAGAGAAATGGACCGTGAATTAATGCCACCGAGAAGGAGAGTTTAATTTAAACTCAACGGCGAATTCGCGATTCACAACCCCGGACTTTGATACTGGATTATTATGCTTATCATCATAATCATAATCATAATCATCATCATCATCTTCATTTCCCGTTTCACTCTTGTTTATCTTCGTAACACCCGAGCGTTATTAAACGTTAAAGTAACAGGACTATGTGCTAGATTATTTTCCAACCCCTATTTTCTTTTTTTTCTCAACTTTTTATTTCGTTTAGGCGAACCCCGCCCGATTACGCGAGTTTCCCCCCTTTCCCCTCTACTTCTTTTTTTTTTACGATAAGATAAGTATAAATAGAAATAATAAACGAAGGTTGTGTATACGATTGCGATTATTTTCAACCCCCTCCCCCCTCAACCACCCACGCCTTTTTCTCAACTTGAACTCGTTTGAGTGACCCGCCCCCTTTCTTCCCCCCTCGCCATCACGCAAGGGTTGATTATTTGTTCGTTGGAATAATGTTTCTCATAAAATTTTGCATTAATGTGTTTCCCTGTTATAATGAATATAATTGGTTTGGATTAAAATATAAAATGATTGGCCGTTGCCGATAACTTTCTTCCCATTCGTCGAGTTCACGGACACCATTCTAACAATGTCATTGATTGGTCGTTTTTTAATCTTTCCCACCCACCTTTATTTCCCTTTATCCTTTTTGATTGTACGTAGGTGGGGGCTAGATATCTATTATGGTAACATCGAATTTAGCATTGTGCCTGAAAAACAGTCAGTCAGTTAGCAACGATACGTGAGTTTGGTAACACATTAGATATCTTTCTTATTAAAATTATTAAATTTATGATATTATTTAATTGAAGGATTTAGATCTGTGTCAAGGTACAGTGATTTCTATTATATTGTCATTTATCTCATTCTTTTTTTTTTCCTTTTACTTTTCTTTGTTTTTTCATTTCTTACGATCCATGTGTTTTTATCACACCGCAGTATTTTTTTTTTTTCTTAATATAATATAATAATATAATAATTAATATGTGGATCGGATTAGAAAAATTAGTCTCGATATAAATTTGAATCATTGGGTTAGAATTTTGTCGAGTATATATTTTGTATTATGGTATAATAATTTATTGTTCTTTTTTTTTTTTATCGGAATTTTATTCGACAAAGAATAATATGCTGTTTTTTGAAGAAAAATCGATAAGATTGTTTGAAGAGATTGTTGGATGTCTTTTTTTGTTTTTTTTTTTTTGTTTTTTTTTTTTTGTAAAGAAGAAGAAGAAGGTATCATGATGCGCAAAAAAGTTGGTCGCGTCCGCAAATCTATTAAATTATACTTTAACATTTTCTATAGTCGAATAAACCACGTGATTAAGATTTTGCAAGAATTCTGACGTAGTTACATAATAAATTCTATACACGCTGCACAGTTTGGCTTAGTACCAGCCTAGAAATACGTAAATTCTTTCGTAATGAGATGTGTTGTGTGTGTGTGTGTGTGGTGTCGTGCACCATCGTCTCTTGATTCCGGAAATTCCTCGCTCCCCTTTTTCGCAAACGCGATCCATAGAATATTTCTTGATCATCGTTCAAGAATTAACTAAATGTTTATCGACAAAAAAAAGAAAAAAAAGCTCTTACATTTGTATGAATTTTAGTATTATCGAAATATTGTTTTACCCTTAAATTTCATTATAATTCGAATCTATTATTTTAAGGATCAGATAAATGCTAGGACAAAATTTCTCAGGAAACTTCGAATCTCGTAAATTCGTGATCATTCTATTTCGATATAATCAAATTATTTTGTTGTTGTACCCCCTAAATGTTAGGCTAATTCTAAATCTATTGATTTTGTGTGCGAACATTTTCAGGAAAAATTTTCAACCTCGATCATTCGAATTTTAAATTCATTTGAATATTTTTCTTATTTCAATTCCAACGATAATATAAAAATTGTCGTATTATTTTAAGATTTAGAAAAAAAGTATGCGTAAATATTTTGTCTTAAAGGAAAATTTGTATTGTTTCATTAATTTGCAACGTGTATTTCAATTTGTTTAATACCATAGAAATATGTTGTAATGTTATAATTTATTGTTTTAGAACGATAATACGATTTATTATTATTGTTTTAGGCATCTGAAGAATATCGGGAACACAGTACACACAAAACTCATCGTGGCAGGAAATCTCGACAAAGGCAAGAGCAACACGTTGTTGAACAACGTAGTACTACTAGTATACAGGAGAGTTCAACGGTTACCACAAAGAGTAGTAGTTCAACCAATCAACAAAATTTATCGAAGAAAAATTTCAATTTAATACGATTGAACAGTATCCCCTTGCCATTGGCCAGTGGTACAGTTACATGTAAGTATATACATATTTTTACAATATCATATATATACATTTTATCTTTTAATATCTAGATGAGATACAAAAAAAAAACAATTACTTAATTTTTAAAAAGACAAAAAAATTCGAATTTTATTCCTCGACAAAAAAATATCGAAAATAGGAAACTAAAACGGATGATAATAATAATAATAATAATATAAAACGAGAAGGAAAAAAAAACGAAAAAAAAAAAACACAAAAAATTAAAAAAAGATCTTCCCCTAGAATCTTTTTCTTTTCTATTTTTTTTCTATTTTTTTTTTTTAGAAATAAAGAGACAAGAAAATTCTTTTGTAAATAAGTTTATTTAAACGATATCGTTGAGGTAGCCAAAACGAATGATACTCATTCGGGGGAAGACTAACGCATAAACGTTAGATCATCCCTGTCATCGAATTGATTGCGATCAGAACGAACAATTTCAAGTATTTTCTTCACTACCGTAAACCATTTAATTTTACCTTACGATGTTTTGACGTTCTCTTAACGATGATTTGTTTAAATTGAATTATAGAGTCTTATTATATTTTTATAAAAAAAAAAAAAACAGAAAAAAAACACAAGAGGAAAAAATACTTCACACGAATCAGTCTTTTGAATAATAGATAAGAACGTTACATTGTAACAAAAACATCGTTTGTTTGAAATCGCGAAATAATTTCCAAGGTGCTTAATAGTCGGTCATTTAAAAACTTAAAACAAGAATGATCGTTGTTTGGCATGTATTCAAAAGCATATTATTCCGAGGAACATATTGTATAATATAATGTAATATATAACAAAATTAATTAATATTATCGATAATAATTTTATTTATTAATTGATTAAATGAACAATATAAATTGTCGCAGTATAATAAAATCGTGAATTTATACTTCGAATAATATAACGACAAAAAAATGTGTTCGTAATCTTCTCTACGAGTATTTAATATAATTTATTTAAATATTTCTACAAGTACTATTTTTTTTAAATGAACAAAATTAATTAATTTCATCGATAATAATTTTATTTATTAATTGATTAAATGAACAATATAAATTGTCGCAGTATAATAAAATCGTGAATTTATACTTCGAATAATATAACGACAAAAACAATGTGTATTAGTAATTTTCAACGAGTATTAATTAACGATTATTTATTGTTATTATTCATTTGATCTTAAATAGAAAATATTTGTCAATTCTAATGGAACCCGATAAATCATTGAATTCTCGAAATCATGAATAATATGATTTGGATCATTTCCAAGTATTTTTGATACGTACTTGTAGTCCTTACTCGTGTCTACCAAATTTTATCCTCATTAATGATTTGTACGCCTGCTAACTCACGACATAGTAGTAAAATAGTAGTAGTGGTACTTGATGGACGCGACAGGTTTTCATGCTGGTCGTTCTGAATTTTGTTAAAGGACCATAAGCTAAATTACGAGCGTGTGACACGATGAAAATTATCGACTTCTTATTCGACTATAATTATAACTGATATATCATACTTTGAATTTCGTTTAATTCGTATTCATTTTAATTACAAGGTTTTGTTTTCAAAGGAAGCAATTTTTTTTTCTTCATCTACGTAATACAAATTTCTTTTTTTTTTATACGTTTTAATTTATAAAATCAGAACACTTTTGGAAATTTGAGAAAATTGATTATCTTTATGAATAATTTATTTAATTTTTTTTCTTTTATATAAATATATATATACATTGAGTTTTTAAAATAAGGGTTAATCTGGAACGTGTTTAAAAATCCACCCGAACGAATAATTATTTCATTTTGTTTATTTTTCTCTAAAGTAAACAACATTCTTCAAAAATACTCGATTTCGTGACATGAATGCCAAGACTGAATGAGATGCAATGATTTTAACTAAATCTGTATCTAAGATTTATTTAGAAATCTAAATCTATTTTCTTACTAGAGCGTATTTATTTGTGTAAAATATTTATATCGTTCAAATTCTATTCGTAAACATAAGTAACATTTTCCAAAATCTATATGATCAAATCGATATATCATCGATAAGAAAATTCTTTAAAAGTTTATCAATGATTCTGTGAAACGAACATAGAAAAAAGTTGAGACACTCTAATAGACAAAATCTTCCTTATAAATAAATTTCATTCAATAATTATACCTACAATATATAGTAACCTGGAGGATAAAAAAGAAATCACTATATTTTTGTCAGTAATTATCTTTTCTCATAGTAAACAAAATTCTTCTAACGATACAATTTTGTTGCTGGAAAAATATATGACATGTTCAATTCAATCTTCCCTTAAATTATATTTTAAATCAATAATTTAATATCTTTAGTAATTTAAAGACAGAAAAAAAACACTATAACTGTTTATTCGTAATTATCTATTCTCACAGTACAATAAAATACTACAGAGATATATTATAAAAGAATACGGTATATTGATGAAAAAATAATTGACACGTGGAAGATTAAATCATTTATTAAATTAATTTAGATCAATATCATATTCATATAATTATTACCTTGACATTTAATTCATTCTTATTATTTTATTCACAATAATTTCTATTTTTCAATTTAAACAAAATCATAGCAAAAGTTTACCAATGATTCTCGATATATGTTGACAACCCCCTACCCCCCAAAAAAAAAGAGAAATCCAATTACTTTTAGTTTATTCATAATAATTTCTTTTTCAATCTAAACAATTTAACAAAAAAAGAACCCCCCAATAAATATTATCAACGATTCGATATAATGTCGGCGAATGTAATAAATTAAAAAAAAGAAAAAAAAAGGAAAAGAATATTTGAGATTTGATGAAGTATTTTGTTGAAAAACGTTGCGGTTGTGTTTCCGCCATTTGGCCAAAAATACGGTGGCATTAGTGGATAAAGAGGAAAGAGCTGGAGGTGGTGGAGGTGGTGGTGGTGGAGGTGATGGTGGAGGTGGAAGAGGAAACTGGAGGAACGTTATAAGTAAAGGAGGGTACTCGATGATGCGTCGGAAATGCTAGGAGGGTGATATTAATATTGGATGATTAAGTGGCTTCGGATGCGCGGGCTCGAAGATGCTCCAAAAACCAAAACCTCCGGCGTCGTCGACGGAAATCCATAAAAAGATCAATCCCCTCCTCTCTACTTCCTCCTTTCAAACCTCCATCTTATTCTCCTTCACCTACGCCTACTCCTTTTCCTTTTTGTTTTTTTTTTCTTCTTCTTCTTCCTATTTTTCTGGGTCATCTTATGATTTCCTATAAAATCGTTAGTCGAAAAGCTTTCGTCTGGGCAAGTAGTTTTATCGAATAATTTTCCTCGGTTATCGAACCGTACTTTTCGGCCATTTTGTAAATTCTTCAAAGATGATGCAAATGTTCATCGTCCCACCCATTGGTTGCTATCTTCTATTAGGAATTTAGGTTAACGTGTTTATTTAGTCATTTCGATTGAATTGTTTTTGTTTTTTATCTCGTTGGATTTGTTTATTTATTTATTTTTCTTAATGTTCATTGTTCCTTTATTCTCTATTTTTTTCTTTTTCTTTTTTCATTAAATTTTAATTTATTTTCAGTTAATTTTATTAAAGTATGTATGCTTTGTGTGAGTCAAGGTTATTTGTTCTTGATTCATTATTTTATTTTTTATTTTTTACTATATGATTATTTCTCATATTTAAATTTGATATATTTAAATGTTATTAAAAATTAATTGATTATATGCTCGGAGAAGATATTTTGGTTCAAGGTTTTTGTCTCGATTATTTATTTTACTTTTTACTATCAGTTTTCTGTTAATAATAATTCTCACATATTTAAATTTAGTTAAGAATCGTATTAAAAATGAATTGGTCATGTGCTTGGAAGATACTTTGGTTCAAGGTTTAATATCTCGAATATATATATTTCGGATGCATATTTTATTAGCTTTAAAATAAATGTTCTACGTAACAATATTCGCCATCTTTCGAATCTTTAAGATTTTATTAGAAAATTCATTAAATATACATTTTTAAGAGATAATTTAAATCAAATCATTTTTATTATAATCATCGTACAAGTAATTTTAATACTTTTTAGATACAAGGATCTTAAAAATGCATTCTAACATTTTAATATTTTTATAATGATCATACTAATTTATTTATCCAATTATTATCTTTTATTGTTGTTACTGTTGGTCGTACAATTATGCGTGAAAAATGATTTGATAAATTACGCGTATAATGGAAATTTTCATTATAAACTATCTTGTTAGATAAGCAAAGATAGTAAGAATTATATATGTATGGTGGTGGGGGAAAAAAGGGTGTCCTTAGGATATCTCATCGTAATTTTACTTTATATACTGTAAGACACGATCCCCGAAAATATCTTAGCGAGCTTTCTAAAGATATTTACGAGGCCATTATAAGAAGGGGGGTTCCCTTTTTGAATATTTGCAAGAATTCACCGACTTATCTTTTTTATTTCTTTTTCTTTTTTTTTTTATTTTCTTTCCCCTGCGTGACGTAGGTAACGGCGCCAAAAGATTTGCTCGTAAAAGTACGGTCAGAGGAAATGGAGGGGAAGGGGGTGGGGCAGCATATTTTGTTACTTTGAGTTAAAAGAGATGAATTTTTATTTTCTTCTTCTTCTTTTTCTTCTTCCTCTTCCTTTTTTTCTTTTTCTCTTTTTTTCTTTCTCACCAAAGATATTTAGTTAGGCTAGCTTAAAGTAATTCTTTCAACGTAACATTAACTCACGATACGAACGAGTAAGCGTAAATATTTTATTCTAGAGAATTTTCAACGAAAATAACAATTTTTTTATATAAATTATTATTTGATAAACGAGAATAAATAGTTTTTAATTGGTAGAATATATTGTAATAGTTACTGGTTATTTTTGGTCTTTTTCAAAATTAATTAAAATATTTTTTGTATACTTTTTGAAAACTATAATTATAACTTTTAGTTATAGCGACAAAAATAGGATGATAATTAATGCGTTGATATTTTTTAAAAGTTAGAAAAATTTAATCAATTTTAAGTTTCAATGTGTTAAATGTTTGATGCATGATCTTTAAAAAGAAAAATATTAAAAGTAAAAAGATAGATATTTCAACAACGGTTGAACGATTTGTTTTTTTTACATTAGGTGTATAACTTTGTGTATCCACCCCCCCGGTGTTTTAAATATTAAATAAAAATATATTTTAAATTAATAAAAAAATCAAACAATTAATAAACAATACGTTAATAATATTTAAATTCGATCGAATAATAATAAACTATGATAATACAATCAAACCTACATATAATATTTTAAACATAATAAATCATTTCTACGTGTTAAATATTTATCAAAACTGTGTAAGATACTCGTTAATCATAAATGTTGAATTTAATTAACGATAGGTAATCAAAGAATACGCAAAATATGATTGAAATTTTCTCTTGTATATCTTTCAACGTTAGATTGTTGGATTAGTTATCAAAGTTGGTAATCAAAGTACGAGAGATGTTTTTCGTGAGTAATTTAACAACGTTCTAGTAGTTTAACGGGGGAAGAAGGAAGGGGGGGTTAACGGTTGTCCGCAATCAGTCAGATGAAACAGGGTGACTATTTCACTTATTCGTGTTGCCTTTGGCGCGTACCCCGGTTATGCGAATGGATGATCGGTTGGTTGGTTGGTTGTTTGACTATTTCCTTCACCTCGTAGAAAAAGAGCCAGCAAGAGTGGTTTGAACATATCGCACGCCAAATCTTGTCGGTCTTATCTATCTTCGGAATTCTCCAATTATCTATTTGCTTATATAAATTAGTCTGATGTTTTTTTTCTTTTTCACATTTTCATGGGGTGGGGTTGGGGGGAGAGAGAAAAATAGGGTAAATGAATTAATTGTAATTTTATTTACACGTGTTTATATTTGTATAAATTACAGGTTTATTATTCTATCTGTGATAATTTGTTGCGTTCGATCTGTTGTTGAATGAAAAATTGTTAGAATCAATTGTTGAAATAATTTGTTGTAATAATTTATTGATATTTTTAATCATTTTTAATGGATTTCAACAACAAAAATGTGTAGGAGTTGAATGAAATTTTATTGATTTTTAGAAATGTATGGAAAAATATTTTTGTGGAAGATATTTAAATAATTGTATACGATATTAATTTGTTATATTATGTTTTAGTAATTTATTGTTATATCTAATTGGATCAAACAAATGTATAGGAGTCGAATGATATTTTATTGGTATCTGAAAACGTACGAATAACATTTTTGGAAAATATTTCAACAATTTTACATTTACTTTTTCTGTTTGTTAAGTTCTTACATTTAGTTTTAATATAATATATTATTATTTAATTATTTATAATAGATTACACACATACAAAAAACGTATAAGAATCGAATAAAATTTCATTGATCTAAAGAATTATATAAAATATCCAATATAATATTTATTCAACCTACACATAAATTTGTTTCTAGCAATCTATTATTATCTAATATCATTTATAACAGATACAAAAAATTTATAATAGTCGAATAAATTTTCATTGATATTCTTAGAACAATATAAAGAACAATTTTCAAGAATTATCCAATATCCAATATAATATTTATTCAACCTATATATAAATTTGTTTCTAACGATCTATTATTATCTAATATCATTTATAATGGATACAGCAAAAGAAAAAAAAAAAAAAGAAATATATAAGTGTCGAATAAAATTTGGCAAAAAAAAAAAGAAAATTATCTTTTCGGAATAGTGGAGAAAACACGAATTGGTGGAGAAGACCCGGATAAAAGGATAGAAGAGAGGGAAAAGTGTATTGAGATGGAATGATGAGAGAGCGTGGGGGGGGGCGGGGGTGTCTAAAACGAAAACATATGATTGGTGATGGGTAGTTGGGTGGTGGTATGAGAAAACTGTTACTAGTGGAAGGTTTAAGATTAGGAGAGGGAGAAATTTGATAGACGTTGGACGAAGTTGTTTGTGTCCCTCTCAGTGAGGGATATAAAATCGTGCGTCTCCTGTTTGTTGGGGTGGTGGTGGTGGTGGTGTTGGTGGGTATATACTGGAAAAAAAAGAAAAAAGAAAAAAAAAAGGTTTCCCGGGAACAGATCAGGCTGCCATCGTCCCGGCTCTCGAGTAACTTTGGCAGCTGTGGTCTTCTCAGTCTTGCAAGAGATGCCTTTTCGTGTGGTCGATTGAATTCTTACTATAACTCTTCTTCGACCTTATTATAAATATATATATATATATATATATTTTTTTTTTCTGCTCTTGCACCTGCTTCCAGTAGCAGCAACAGCAAACTCATACGACAAAAAGATATTACGAGAAGGCTACAATTTTTTTTTTGCGTGTCCCTCTCTCTGTCTGTCTCTGTCTCTGTCTCTCTCTCTGGCTTACTTATTTTCTTTCTATTTCTCTTTCTCTCTTATTATCACGCGGAATTGAATTATATTCATTCGTATTATTTAAATAAAAACAAAATAACGCGGTGTTTAATTTCGTATCATCAAAAATCAACAGTTCTACCAATTCGATTCGTTTGTTTTTGTTGTATCGTTTTTACGATTGTTTCGATTAATTAAAAAAAAATATATATGTATATTACAATAGCTTATATTTTCGATTCTATGTGAAATCTTGATATTATTTGTTATTATTTACTGTTTTAATTCGATCTAAAGAAAAAAGTATTAATCATTCATTATCTTTCCGAATTTAGAATAAGACTGAACGCAACAAATCTTTGCATATACATATATTTGTCGTTAGAAAATCGGGGGTGGATTTATTATTAGGATTATTATTCGTAAAAGTAGAGGATAGGTTAAGGATTTTTGTTATTTTTTTTTTTTTTTTAAATATTAACATACTGGAGACTCCCGAGAATTGTCAATCCTCGCGTGATCCGTTTGATCTCGGATCGAGGGTGCAAACATTTATGAAAGTTTATTCGTTTCGTTATCCGATTGGTGTTTCGATCGAGTGTTAAAATAATTAAAAAGAAAAAGAAAGAAAAATTAATTGGAAATGGTTTGGGAAGAAGAAATCGAGGAAGTAGAAACCACGTGGGAGGAGGTGTCGACGTTTTACAGAGCATGGTTGAAAAATTGTTCCGTTAGCGAATTCGATAAACCCGAGAGACCAATTTGTTATGGGAAAATTGATAAAAACGTGAAAGAGGTGCCCGGTCCTGGACTTGATTTTGCCCCGCTCATTTTCCAGAGTCTTTTCTACGTTACCTCTAGAAAAGGTTTTTTTTTCTCTATTTGATTTACGATCAAAGAACACGAAATCAATTTAATCTTATCCCATGTCATATTAGATTTGTTCATTTTTGTTAAAACAAATATTACAAACCTTTCAATTAATTCATTATTAATTAATTGCCCTATAAAAGCATTCTTCTTTTGTAAAAGAATTGTCTTTATTATTATTAATAAAAAAAAATTGTGATTTGCCAATTGTTTTTAGCCGAGGTAAAAATGCCGAGCGGTAACGTGGACAAGCCAGTCATCGAGGATAATCACGATGGCACTGTATCCATAAAATACGAGCCAAGGGAGGAAGGTCTTCATGAGATTTACGTTAAATTTAACGGGGAACACGTGCAAGGTAAATTAATTCATTAATCAATTAATTAACACGATTATAATATTCGTTGTTATTTTTTTTTATTATTAAATTTATTTTCGTTTTGTTTTTTTTGTTTCTTTCGTCGATAGGATCACCATTCAAATTCCACGTAGATTCTTTGGCAAGTGGTTACGTAACAGCTTACGGCCCTGGCCTGATTTACGGTGTCTGCGGTGAACCAGGAAACTTTACGATATCTACGAAAGGTGCTGGAGCTGGAGGATTGTCGTTGGCTGTGGAAGGTCCCAGCAAAGCTGAAATATCTTTTCATGATAACAAAGATGGCACAGTTTCGGTTTCTTATTTACCAACTGCACCTGGAGAATATAAAATCACTGTTAAATTTGGTGACAAGCATATCAAGGGTAGCCCGTACGTTGCCAAAATTACAGGTAATATTAATTAAATTATTATAATATATAAAGTGTATCTTATTAAATAATTTTCCCATTGTTTTGTCAGTAATAATTATGACAATTAATCGAGTAAAAGTATTTTTCAATATTTAAATTATATTTACAAATGATAACAAAAAAATTGTCGACTTAATTACCCCGTGTAGAAAAAAGAAATCGATAATAATAATTAATTAACAATTATGAAATTTGTAGGAGAGGGTCGTAAGAGAAATCAAATATCTGTGGGATCCTGTAGCGAGGTTCAATTACCTGGAAAAGTTCCCGATGCTGATATAAGATCATTGAACGCGTCTATCATAGCACCGAGTGGTTTGGAGGAGCCATGTTTCTTGAAAAAATTACCTAGCGATAACGTTTGCGTTTCATTTACACCACGCGAGGCTGGTTCCCATGCAGTATCCGTCAAACGAATGGGAAAGCACATACCAAATTCGCCATTCAAAATCGAGGTTAAGGATCGTGAAGTTGGTGACGCTAAAAAGGTCAAAGTAACTGGTGCAGCATTGAAGGAAGGCAAGACTCACGTTGAGAATACGTTTTCGGTTGACACGAGAAACGCTGGTTTCGGTGGTTTGTCACTTTCGGTTGAGGGTCCTAGCAAGGTTGAAATTCAGTGCAAGGACAACGAAGATGGCACGTTGAACATGTTTTACAAGCCCACCGAGCCTGGTATTTACATAGTCAATCTGAAATTTGCCGATCATCACGTGGATGGTTCACCGTTCGCAGTTAAAGTTACCGGAGAAGGTAGCAATCGTCAAAGAGAGAAAATCCAAAGGCAAAGGGAAGCGGTACCAATAACCGAAGTTGGTAGTCAATGCAAATTGACCTTCAAGATGCCAGGTATAACGTGTTTCGATCTTGCTGCTACTGTTACTTCACCGGGTGGAATCACCGAAGATGCTGAGATCAAAGAAGTCGAGGATGGTCTTTACGCTGTCGCATTTGTACCCAAGGAATTAGGCGTCCACACGGTTTCGGTTCGTTACAAGGAGATACACATTCCGGGCTCACCTTTCCAATTCACGGTTGGCCCATTGAGAGACGGTGGAGCTCACAGGGTCCACGCTGGTGGTCCTGGATTGGAAAGGGGCGAACAAGGTGAACCATGCGAGTTTAACATCTGGACAAGGGAAGCTGGTGCTGGTGCATTAGCGGTTTCCGTCGAGGGTCCTAGCAAAGCCCAAATCGATTACAAAGATCGCAAAGATGGCAGTTGTTATGTCAGTTATGTCGCTTCTGAACCTGGTAAGCCACGCCCCCCACCTAAACAAAATAATTGGCTTATTGTTAATAATCATTAGATATCATTAACTCTCCGAAGGTTATTTCGTAACGTTTCATATTTTTGTTCTTTTTCTTTTTTGTCTTAAATAATCTTCACCTAAACTCGTGTTAAGCTCGTAAAACTCGAAAGGTGCGGAAACATCAATTAAATAGGCCTTCTCCCTGACATTTATTAAAAGGGTTTACACTTAAAAAGATGGATCATTGCCAGGCCGTCGATTCATACCATCTCTCGGTAACGATGTTACCCGATGTCCCGCTTGTCGCTATATCTTACAAAATTATAACTCGCGTGTTGATATATAATGTCAGGTACTTTGAAGATTTTCTCGTAAATTCGCAGGGTTTAAACTCGAACGAGTTTCTTTCATGTAAATCGGTATTAACGAGTGAGAATGAGAGGAGGAAAAATAATAGAGGAAAATTGTTTTCCTGGCTTAGAAACAGAAACTGTATATAATACTATTATTTATATATTTCATTCATTCTAATGATTCATATTATACAATATTACTAAAACCGAATACCTTACGCGTAACGTGTGTAGTAATAGATATATACAACTTTAACAGTAGAAATTATGTCACACGTCGTTGTCCTTTTTTCTTTTTTTTCTTTTTATCTTTTTCTTTTCCCGATAGATCGATAAATAAATTTGTTTGAAAAATGAGATGCGTTAAACTATTTTTACGATTTTCTTTGATACTTTAAACTGAAGTTTGGGCGCCTAGGAGACAAATAAGGCAGGTGTTCGTTCTTACGTTGGTATGTTGTCGTCGAGTAATTCGGAGACACCCACTCATCAGCCGGATTGATCGGCTGCTTTTCAGCTGATCCAGAAATATCTTCGTCTATATTTGTTAAGGTGGATCCATATTTTGCCCTGGTGAGTAGCACACAGCTTGACGTGGATTATCGTAGTGGTTATATTTGGTCCATGTGCTACGTAAGAAAAAGAGAGATAGTGAGAGAGTGAGTGAGTGAGTGAGTGAGAGAGCAGGGTGGTGGTCGTAGTGGAGGAACACTGTGGACGATTCGAGATCAGCAGCTAGATTCAACTGAAAGTAGTGGTGCGCGATTAACTCACGGCTCTAGAGTTGTGAACGGGACACAACTCATTTCATATTTTTTTTCTTTCTTCTTCTCCTTCTTCTCCTTCTTCTTCTATTTCTATTTCTTCTTTTTCGTTTAACCCCTTTTCCTCCCCCTCTCTCTTTTTTCATTTCCTATCTTACCTACACTGGCCACTCTTACCCACTTCTGCCCTCTTATCTGACCGTAAGATAAAATCGATTTTGTTTTCATCCGGAAAAGCGGAGTTTCACTATTTTCACGTGTTAGGATAAAACGATATTATGGCAACCTTCAAAGCGTCGACGCAAATCGTTTTGAAAGGAAACGAACCCGAGGAATCTGACAACAACGATGGTTCGTCGATGAGAATTTCATTTTATTTGTTATTTTTTGGGGATTTTTTTTAGGAATAGTTAATTCCAATATGATAGATAAATTTAATTGAAAATAAATAAACCTTCGGGGTGATGATGATGATGATGATGATGATGATGATGATGATGATTATATTTGAAAGAAAATATTATATTACATTCGATTCATTGTGTATTTTTTTCCTCTTTTTTTTTTGTAATTTTTAGGTGAATATAGAATAGGAGTCAAGTTCAACGATCAACACATTCCTGACTCGCCTTACAAGGTTTACATATCACCTGCTATGGGTGATGCACACAAATTAGAGGTTGCACAATTTCCGGAAAGTGGTGTACAACCTGACAAGCCTTATACCTTCCTAGTCAGGAAGAACGGAGCTAAGGGTGAATTGGATGGAAAGGTACGATCTGTTAGAGAGAAAGAGAAAGAGAGAAGAAGAACAAAAGAGAAATTAATTACAGTTGACATAAAAAGTTAAGCGTATTTTAAAAAAAAAGGGAAGAAATCGTATTTCGGTTATTATATTTCCCTCAAGGTCATCCAACATATCATCCATCCAACTTGGAAAAATTATCTTGCGAAATATTGGACGAAAATAATACTCGTGTTGTGGTCTCTTGTGAAATTATTCTGACACATCATTTTGCGTAGGCGCCGACTATCTATTGAAAATTTCTTCTTCTTCTTCTTCTTCTTCTTCTTCATCATATTATTATTATTATTATAACTATCTATCTGTCTATTATTATTAGAAAAATATTTTTCATGAGTTAGTAAGAATAGTATTCTAACGATGATCTTGAAACGTTGACGATCATTGGTCAAGGTCTTCCGTTAGATTAGAATATTTATTCTGAACCATCGTTTTTAAAAATAACTTTTATGTTACTTATTTTATAATAGTTATCTATTTTGAAGCTCGACAAAATAACACGATTTTCTAAAATAACATAAGTTTACTAATCCTAAGAAATAAATTTCCTTTTATATATATATATATGTATGTACACGTTTGTATATACCTAATGTTATACATATTTAATTATTAATTATTTGTAGATCGTATCACCGAGTGGCATAGAGGATGATTGTTTTATACAATCCATCGATTCCGACACCTATTCCGTGAGATTCATGGCACGTGAGAATGGTATTCACAGTTTGCATTTGAAATTTAATGGAGTACATATATCTGGCAGTCCTTATCGTATCAAGGTCGGTAAAGTGGATGCCGACCCAGCAGCGTTACACGCTTATGGCAATGGTTTAATGGAAGTTAAGACAGGCCAAAAGACAGATTTCATCATTGATACTTGCAACGCTGGTAGCGGTGCTCTCGGTGTTACGGTTGACGGACCTAGCAAGGTTTCTATGGATTGTACCGAAGTTGAGGAAGGTTACAAGGTTAGGTATACACCTTTGGTACCTGGTGATTATTATATCAGTATCAAATACAATGGTTATCACATCGTTGGTTCGCCGTACAAAGTATCATGTACCGGTAAGTAATTGAATTATTTATTGTTAAATACTTATTTCACAATCACAAAATATTTTCAAAGATTAAAAGGAATATTAATATATATATAAACAAAATAATATATTTATACGATTTAGATATGAAGTTGAAATATTTAGCAAAGAGGATTCAAATTATCATTAGAGATAAATTCGAATTTTTCAGTTCGATCGCAAACAAATTGAGAAAGAACAATTTGATTATTAATAATTCATACATAATTTTATTTCTTTTCTATTTTTTTATAATCATAGGTGCGGATCTAGCGGAGAGGGGTGCACAAGAGACGAGTTCTATCCTGGTAGAGACGGTACAAAAGATATCTAAAGCAAAGCAAACTGGTCCCGTGTTACCGCTTTTTAAATCGGACGCGAGTAAGGTTACGAGCAAAGGTATGGGCCTTAAGAAGGCCTATTTGGGAAAGCAGAATCAGTTCACCGTAAATGCCGGTGACGCTGGTAAGTTTCAAATAATAATAATAATAATAATGATAATAAGAAATATAAACGTATAAGAAAGAATAAAAAAAGAAAAGAAAAGGACACACGTACATCGCAGATGATCGATTAAAAATTCATATTGAGTTTCATCCGCATTTCTTTCTATCATCTACCATCTGTGTGCGTGTATCTTTGTATAAGTATATTCGTTTGATGTCTGTATTGATTTAACTGAATTTATTTTTATTTTATATTTTAACATTAATAATAATAATAATAATAATAATCGATACGACTGACCGACCGTTAATTATACAGGAAACAACATTCTTTACGTTGGCGTTTACGGTCCCAAAGGACCATGCGAGGAGGTATACTTGAAGCACACGGGTAGAAACAACTACAACGTCAGTTACTTGGTACGTGAACGAGGAGAATATATCGTGATCGTCAAGTGGGGCGACGATCACATTCCTGGATCACCGTACAAGGTCGAGGTCTAAAAGGAAATATAGAAAGAAGATCTAAAAAAACAAAATTTCAACGAGTTCAACGCACACACACACACACATATACACATTTACACATATACGTACACACGTACACATACGTACACACATCAGAGACACGCACGCATGCTCAGACCCGCCGAGAGTATTGTCTTTCCTTACGTGGAATCAACAACGTTTGCTTAAGGGAAAACCTTTATAGAAAATGGACATATCCCCATGTGTTCGATTTAGCACGATCTCTCGAATGCTGAACTTATCGAATATGTATTTTCTTAGATTCCCCCCTTCGATCAACCAACCAACCAACCAACAACTTCGTTCTTATCGTCGTTGTTCATCCTCTATTTCTAGTAGACCATCGAATGATCTTGTATATTCCTACCGATCATTCTTCTTCCTTTATTTTCTTATTTTTTCCTTTTCTTATTGTCGGATTGATCGCATCCTTCGCGCAAGCCTTCCCCCATCCCCACCCCCCGTTTCTTTATATTTATCTTTATAATCTTGTCAATCCTTTTGTTTTCCTCGTTGTTCTCTTCGCAAATCCTTCTTGCTCAATTGTACTTTAACATTATGTATTTGTAAATAACCTTTTTAAGGTTACTTTTTTCTTTTTTTTTCTCTCTCTCTTTTTTGACCCCCCCATATTACTCGATAGATCTGCCAACTTTTTTCTTTTTACATTTTAAGCACGTCCCTCGTAGATTTATTTCTTCATCGAGATCGAGATTAATTTCTCTCTTCCCTGTTTTCCTCCTCCTCCTCCCCTCCACCCCTCTTATCCCCTTTCTTTCTTCTAATCTTAGGAATTTTTGTCTTCTATCCGTTCGTAGAAACGGATTTAAATGGATGATAATGATGATGATGACGATGATGATTAAATATTTTAAAAAGTGTCGCTAAAATGTGGGTCAATTATTCGTTATTGAATAATTTCTACAAAATTAATAAAAACCGTATGTGCCTTAAAGGAAGAAACAAAAACAAACGAACGAAGAAAAAGAAAAAAAACCACAAAAATAGAAAGAGACAAAAAAATATATATATATATATATATTATATATAAAATAAATATATATTGATAAATATAGGATTAAAATTTTTTGTGATGACATACGAAATGTGGGAAAATAATTTAAGGAGGAAAGAAATGATAATGTTATATGTGAACATTGAATGAATTATAATGATTATAGTAAAACGTAAATAAAATATATAACTCGTGTTGCGAGAATCGACAATTTTTTCTGATATTGCATCACGTTATATTATATCATTGATTAAGTATAGAATTAAATATATTACGATTGATTATTATACGTTAACATCATATATATATAGAGGTTAAATAAATAATATATTTCTTAAAGAACATATGCAGATATTGTGTATTTTGTTTCACGACAACAAATTTATCTTTTTTTTTGATTATTGTACAAGGGGTTTCTTGTAATCGGTAATACGAACGAGAAGTAAGGGTGATTTTATGCGAAAAATTCAATCGATAATATAAAATAAAATTTGTTCGTATGAGGGGATTGTTTCGGAAGAAAATTAAATTTCAATATTTGTCGAGTTCTTATACATTTTTGGCTGACATCAGCTTGCAACCAAGTGCAGCCTGAAAATTAACAACCTTTTGTTCGATAAACGTAAAAATAGAATTGATAATAAAAAAGTATCATCATTCTGACAAAATATTTGGAAACGTATTAAAATGCATAAAAATTGAGTACTCGCTTGAATCACCGTATACGAGACACCTTGTATATATTTTATAAATTGCATTACTGCAAGAGAAACTAAAAAGAACTGAAAAATGTGAATATTGGTTTAATTAATTGAATTACAATTTTGTTTTTATATTTTTCTTTTTTTTTATTAACATGTGAAATCTCCAATTACAATGTAGTTAAAAAATTATGCTACCACCACTCCAAATACCTGTGAAAAAAGAAATTTATAATTTGTTCGTTTCGTTAAAATGAATTTTAAAAACACCTTTGTACGTATCTTACATTTTATTATTATAACTTTTGTTTATTTTATACAATAATTTAAAACAACCATTTTTTGGAAACTCGATGGTAAGTAAAAATTAGACGCCATCTTGTTTTTTCTAATCATAAAATCCAAAATATATAACCTTTAAATAAAATAAATGAATACAATCATCTTCAGAGAGAATGTTCGAATATAAATTCACAAATGTATAAAAGAAATATTCTCAAAACTCTAAAAAATAAACTTTCGTAACTCTTCCGTTTTTCTCCGACTTTCGTACTTTTTCATTTTATAAAACATTCCTCATGTAAAATCATCAAAGAGTACGAAGAAACTCTAAAAGAAGAAAATAAAAAAATGAAAGAAGAAGAAGAAATTGATCGTCAGGGAGATAGAAAGAGAAGGATGAAAAGGATGAGGAGGTGGTAGTGGTAGTGGAAGAAGAAAAAAAACGAGGAGGAGGAGGAGAACTCGTTGCGGAGAAAATTATTCACGCTCAGGAACATTGTGGTTTTACTTGAACAAACAGAGAAAGAAGAAAGTTATAAAGCTAGACGAGGATATCAACGCACTAACACACACGTGCACACAGCAGCCAGATACACACTTCTACTCGAGCTTAAAACAAGTAGGGAAATAAAAAAAAAAGAAAACGAGGGGAAGAAGAAGAAGAAGAAGAAGACGTTTTCTCTCGTGTGGTAACTCGAAACATATCGTTGCTGGAGTGAGAAAGAAGAAGAAGAATAAGAAGAAAAAGAAGAAGCATAACTCGTTGATCGTGAAAGAGGTGGGTGGGGAGGAGGGGGGGGGTAAAAAAGGATAGACAACGAGTGAGACGATGTGAGGTGAACGAGAAGAAGGAGGAGGAGGAGGAGGAAGTGGAAAAGTGGGAGGAGAAAAAGGAGGAGAATTGGAGGTGGAGATGGAGGTGGAGGAAGCTTCGAGACTGGGCAAGAATTCTGGTTGGTTTACGGGCTCGATGGGACGGTGATGGGGGCGTTAACAAAAGGTATAATTCGTTCGGAGTTCGTGCGAAGTTCGCAGGCGTCACTGAGGTCCAAACCGAGCTGAGGATTTCAAAGAGGAGGGAGGTTTCAAACAGTCCCAGGGAGTTGCGCTGTACTGTCGAGTTGTACGATCACGGTACGAACCTCCTCCTCTCTCTCACTCTCTCTATTATTCAGTATTTCTATCTTTCTCACTCTTTTATCCCTCCTCCGAATATTCCTCAGAGATATATACACGCCCTCTTCTCGCAAGAGGACGGATTTATAAACGCCTACTAAGAGGAGGAGGTACCGTTTGTTTTACGAATCGAGGTTATGTTTTACACCACTCGTCAGGTATACATGTATATATATATATATATGTAGTATATGTATATTATTTTACTTTTTTTCTTATTTTTGTTCTTTCTTTTTTCTCTTGGATGGAATACGAGGAACATTAATATTTTGAGGTTATCTCCTCCCCCATTCCTCGTATAATATGTTAATGTTCGGGCCCCTTTTCTCTGTACATTTATTTCTTTTCTTTTTTTTTCTTTCTGAGATTCTAAAGAGAACATTTTATTCTCTACGATAAAGAAGCCGTGAGATGATCCCCTTTTTGTGTTTCATGGGTTTTCATTGATCTTTAAGTCGAGATAACGTGAATTTTGAAATTGAAATTGGATATTTCAATACATCCCATGGTACTATTTTATTAAGCAATTATTTATTTTTTACTTTCTACGAAACTTTTTTGGATATCATAAAATAAACAAAAAAAAAAAAGAAATTCAAGAAACATTTGTCTTAACTAAAACAATATATACACAGGTTAGTATTAAAATCGTTATAAAAATCGTTTCAAATTCCGTAGGCGAATTCGGAAAAGTAAACTACCCTTCCTTCGTCTTCCTAACCACACACCACCAACCTCTTTGCTCTATCTCATAAAGATAAAAAAAGAAAAAGAGGCGTGAACGAAAGTAATCGTGCGAATAGGTAACGGTTCGTTGAATTTTTTTCGAACTTTAAAGGAGAGACACCAAAAAATGTGTATAAAGATAATAAAAAAAAAACCAAAAGAAAAACCAAAAGAAGGGTATATATTTATATATAATAAAAACAAAAAAGAAATAAAGATAAATTTGAAATAAAAGTGTGAAAGTTCTTTTTTTTCTCATAGACGCGAAACGAGTGAAAAAGGTGGGTCCCTCTTTTGCTTCGCTCAAGTCGCGAAACTCTCGTAATAAGAGATATCTTCTCTAGGTAAACGTAATTTTGTACATTCACACTGACACCCATTATACACACACACATACACACACACAGAGAAAATAAATGTCTTTAGAATATAGGAAGAATATACCAAGAGAATTTCGTAGAGGAAAGGATAGGCGGAGCTTTCTGGTACCGCGCCTCCGCAACACGAACCCACCTTTCCTGTTCTATTCCCCCACGTCCTGGGGTTTCAGCTTTTCCAGAACCTTTTCCCATTTTCCCTCTCTCTCTTTCTCTCTCATACGACCTTTCTATCCCCACCACATTCTCGACGAGTACTGTACACAGTATAGTAGTAGCACTCCTTTCTGTCCTTTCGACGAAAGCGCACCTGCAAACCACGGAGCTCCACCTTCCTGTCACCTCCGGCACCACCTTTTGCCTCACCGATCCCACCCCTCCACCCCTGCTACACCCCCTTCCTGCTACTACTCCTGAAACTCCTCTTTACCACGCATTCTCTCTCTCGTTCTTTTATTTTCTTCTAGGATTCCGTTTTTCTTTCTTTACCTCTGTGTCCTTTACAGTTACGAATACATATATATATATATATATATATATATATAGATATATCCACACCCACCTACCACCATCTTTCTTCCTAATTTTTTTCTTTTTTAATTTTTTTCCTACCCCTTCCATCCATCCACCCCTTATTCGTACTTACAAGCACCTACCTTTCTTTTCCCTGCCTATCCTTCTTCCCTAACGTCGCGGCCATTTTGTACAATTTTTTTGTCACATACTTTCGCAACCTTACTGCTTTAATCAGAAAGAGAGATGAAGATAGAGATAGGGAGTGATAGAGAGAGAAAGATATATATATATATATATAGAAGACCAGGAAAGAGATAAGAGACGGATATTAAACACCCTCCCCTCCCGTTACTCCCTCCCACTTTTACCGGAGAAACCCGCAAAACCCTTCGCACTCGCAATCCTTGGCCCTTTCTTTTATTCTTATTCTTTTTCGGTTGTTGTTGTTGTATTATTATTATTATCGTAGGTGTTGTTGTACCTTCATTTTCTACTCTCACCTTTTGCGGTTGAATCTTAAATCTTCTTCGCATCCATTATTATTTTCTCATTATACTTACTTACTTTTAATTCCGTTTACTTTTGGGAATTTTTATGGGGAAAAGAAAAAAGTTTTTTTTTTTTTATTCGATTGTTTCCATTTATTATTTATACTTACCTTTTCGAACTTGCATATTTACACCAACGCTGTTGCCTGTTGGTTATTATATCGAAATGCGTTATTGTTTTTTTGACTTTTTTTTCACTGAAAAATTATTCATGGCTTTTTAAAACATATATATATA